CCTTTTCTGAAGACAATCTTGCTAGAATTTTCATTGCTGCTGCAAAAGCAAGCAACATGACCTCTTCAGGAAGTTTTCCAGACTTTTCATTATCATTGTTATGCATTTATCTTAGCTGGTAGTCTTTCATTCAAACAATTTTGTAAATATCAAATATTATTTCCCACACATATCTATGATTAAAATGACTTTTTGCTCTTCATGTCCTTCATACTTCTGTGTTTCCTCATTTATATTCGACATATTGACATAACCACATACTGTATTATGAGAGCTGGGAACAGATGTGACAGATGCATGGCATTGAGAAAAAGTTACCATTAAAAATTTTGGTAAAAACATAGTTCAGGGTGCCCCTTGGCGAAAATTGGTGATTTTTGGCGATTGGCCAGCAAGACACAAATTCGAGATGGCCGCTACACACAAAACCAAAATAACAAGTCGATGCCCATGGATACATCGATCTTTTTCACTTAAAAAAATATCACAGAATTGCACAAACTCAGCAATGCATACTGCCTTGACTTTGTCCATATACACATCGATCTATTTTTACTTTAAAAATATAATGAGAATGATGATGTCATATAAAGTTAAAACAAAGGGTTGATCTTTGGATTATGGTAACTTGGCGATTTTTTGGTGACCAACTCTGCTACAGCAACCCTCTATTTTTTTTTTTCGCCGCCATTTTGTCTTCACGAAGTAAAGACATGTTTCTTTTCTTTTTATTTACTGAACACTTTTTCCAACCATCTACTAGCCGAATTACACTTATGCTAGAAATTTTATGTAACAAACTGCTTAATCATGACAAATATTAACTGCAAAATTGGGAAAAAGTGCACAATCGCAAACTCCTTGCGCGTTTTTCAGAATAGCACATACACATAAACCATTTACACGTCGACTTATTTTTACTTAAAAAAAACATCCCAGAATTGCACAAAATGGCATTGCACACACTCTTAACTTTATCCATCTACACTGCTATTTTCTCATAATTACAAAAAATTTGCACGAAAATGTAAAAAAATTCTTGAATCTTTAAACTCGGTAAAAGCACATATATGAAATACCTGATCACGAAAAGTATATACCTTTCCAAGGATGAACATTTCCACGTATAAATAAATAAAATATCCAAAAACTTTTACCTCTAAATTATTTATTATATTATAAACGTCACCAACGAATCCATATCGCAAACATACGAATGGTTTACAAATACTTAGTTCAAATATTTAAATTATTTCCATTTACGTTTACTTCAAATGAAACGTATACCAAATTCCTACAAACATAAAATTCAAAATAACTATCATTTAATTAAAATATCACTAAACCATGTACACGTCGACTTATTTTTACTTAAAAAAACATCCCAGAATTGCACAAAAATGGCATTGCGCACACTCTTCACTATATCCATGTACACTGCTTTTTTCTCATAAATTAGAAAAACTTCACAAAAATGCATAAAAATTTTTTGAATCTTTAAATCCGGTAAAAAGAACATATATGAAATTACCTGATCGCAAAAAGTATATACCCTTTCAAAGATGAACATTTCACGTATAAAATAAATAAAATATCCAGAAACTTTTACTCTAAATTATCTATTATATTTAAACGTCACTAACGAATTCATACCGCAAACATTACAAATGGTTACAAATACTTAGTGTCAAATATTTAAATTACTTCCATGCATGTTTACTTCAACTGAAACGTATACCAATTGCAAAAACATAAAATTCACAAAATAACTATCATTTAATTAAAATATCACTAACCATGTACACGTCAACTTATTTTACTTAAATAAACATCCCAGAATTGGACAAAAATGGCATTGCACACACTCTTCACTTTATCCATGTACGCTGCTTTTTTCTCATAAATAGAAAAATTCAAGAAAATGCATGAAAATACTCAACGTATTCTACTCAAACGCATTCCAAAATACTACAAACATATAACTCACCAAAATCACGATCATTAAATTAAATATAATTAAATTTAAAAAAACACACTTAAAATAAAATCACATACATTAAATAATAAAAATTAGATTACAATCCTAATTACTTTAAACTAAATCATTGCTAATAACAATTTCCAATATATCATATTAAATTTATTTACTCCTTACATTTAGAACAATGCATAAAAATAATATCCCAAATGATTAAAAATACTAACTTACCTAATCTTCAGAATCTTCATTACGTGGCACGCACACTTCCACTATTTCACACAACACACAATGAGCTTAATACAAAATATATAGTACTACAGTTTTCCAATTTCCCCCCCCCTTTTCGATTAAAGAACTAAATTCGTAATGTCACATTCCATTGATACATTCCTCAACATATCTCGAAAGAATGCGTAATCGGAACTAAGTACTTCTCACATTATTACCAAAGTCCTACCTTTTTCGCCTCCAAAATGTTGCCAAACTACCAGTTACCATCAGTAGCGTAGCTAGGGTGGGGCAAGGGGGGACATCTGTTCCCGGACGCAGCATTCACGGGGCACCAAATTGATGTTACGAAATTTTAGAATGAAATTTTTCCGTTCTTAGCACAGAGGGAGGGGCACAAAATCTTCAGTTGTCCCCCGGGTGCTGAAATCCCTAGCTACGCCTTTGGTTACCATATTCCAAAGATCAGCCAAACAAAGTTACTCATCGCCAAAATTGAACAAAATTTATAGCCAACAAACTGCATTTTAAATCACACAATGAAATAATATAAAAAAAGGAAACACATGTTATGTTATATAAGCACTACAAAAGGGAAATACAACTTACCTAATTTGGAAATTGTTGCGCCTTCGGTATGCGACACACAAAATTCCTTAACAGCATCCAAAAACTTTTTTAAATTATCTGAACTAGAATATGCATACTGCAGTCGCCACATATATTCACAAAAATAAGAGTAAAAAATATCCTTCATAGTGCCGGAATATTGGTGGCATTTCTTGCAAAAATCCCTTTTTATTACATTCCACAAGCCTTTGACAGTGTTGATATGAACTCCAGAATTTCCTGATCCTTAATTGTCACTGCATGATTTACTGAAAGGTGAATGAAGCCATTATCAAAGAGACAATTGTATGACTTCCAGCAGTTGGATATGATCATTCTTCCAAGTAAAATATTCCATTGAATTTCGTCCAACGAAGTTTTTTTCTTCTGTCCTCAACGACTTTAAAGAAAAAAAAAACCTTCCGCTCTCTCATTCTATACTACCAAACACCCAGTTTATAATGCAAAGCACATAATATGCAAAATACTTCCTAACCAGCATCCAACACAGATATAAGCCCTTCCAAATGTTTTCCCATCAGTCAATTTCACCTCAATCATGCAACTAATCACAATAGGGGTTTCCATAACATTCAACTACTCAAGTTACCATAAATGAAACAACAACTTGGCAATAATCTAAGGGGCACTCTAAAACAGAGACTAACCGAAATTTTTAATGAGGAAACCCTGTTTTTGCAGATTTGTTAGACTTTAATCGTGAAATGTGAATAAAAAAAACTTCAATAATTAAAACAATGACCAAATAATTGCATCTACCATTCAAAAAAGGGAAAACAACATTAAAAAGTTAGTAAAAATGTAAACAAACAAAAAAAAAAAAAAAAACTTTGACATAAAGCTTAGCCAGAATAAGAGAAATAACCAAACAAAAAATATACAAAAACACTTCAATTGGCTAAATGGAATGTCATTCGAAACAAAATCTCATCAAAATCAAATGGTTACCATGACAAATAAGTGCAAAATTTTGCAGGCAGTATTCCTGGCACATTTCCGAGAACTGTTACAATTACTATGTTCTATCACCCTAGGTATCAGTTCTTCAGTAGTAAACAGAACAAAAGATGGCTAATATCTCTTCTGCCTGAATGCTTGTCATGTTTTAATGAAAATAAAAATAGTAAAATAAAACTCATAAATTATGACCACATAGTAATTTTGAAGTATAAATGACCAAGTATTCCATTTTGAAAAACTGTAATTTTAATTTTATGCAAAGATTATAAAATTAACAAACATTAGGTTAGGTGCTTGCAGCAGGAAGCCTAATTTGGATATGACATATTTTAAATTTGATCTCTATGGCAATGTTTATAAAGCATACCAAATCCCAAGGCATTTAAATGTCAAACCCTTTAAAATATTTTTTAATTAAATAAAAAATGCAAGACAATTCATTATAAATAGCAGAATAAAACTTAAGCAACGCCATAAACATTTTTTAAAAAAATAGCCACTAATGTACACATAATATTGTTATCTTAACACTCATTTATAATGTACGGCTTATCACTCAATTTCTACAAATTATCACTCATCACGCGATGTTTCTCAACCGTAAACAAAAAACATGCATTAAGGTTTTATTCTTAGGGCAGAAGAAATAAAATGACTGACTTATTTACCATCAAATACACACACACACACCAAAAAAAAAGAAAGATCGTATATTGTTAAAAAACTAAAACTCGTACATGAATGCATTACTCATCAGAACATCGTAAAAATATGGCAAGCGTGGCACAAAGTAAAAAAATGTGCAAGATTAATATACTAAATTGTAATTTTTTTGAAAAAGTACTAAATTTTCACAATAACTTTCAACAAGAAAAGCAGGATTGCGTAATATCAAAACTCGTCGTAGACACAACATTTAGTCATCAAGAATAATGCTTAAATTGACAAACTATCTATTTCCTTAATTTAAAACAGTTCAACAAATAACTTTCAGAGAAATTTACACCAATCTCAATATCCACTAAATGTCAAGAAATTCCATATATTTTTTCCGATAGTTTTACTGATTACGAAAGAAAATTAGATTACAAACAAAAGCAAACAGTGTTTATTAAGAAGCTCACTCGACAATGCATTGCTAATCATTTCACATATAATTAATTACAAGCAAAATTTTCAGATAAATGAAAGATATCCTTACACTCTGTCGGCAATTTCCCGTACTTTCCACATGCTGCTTGGACGGAATTTTCATTAATTATATATATTTTCTAAATTTTTAAGTAAAATTTAATGCGGTATTTAAAAAACTGTTAATGACTGTAGCATCTATTCGAATTATAATTATATCCTAGGTCAACAAATTGTACATGACACATATTTTGCAGGAAAACCTGCCCACTAAACTGGAAAATTTCAACATTGCCAGATTTCATCAACAAATCTAAAATTCAGTCAGTCGTATCCAACGAGATAGTATACTGTTATATGTAAGGCTCCTATAAGCTCCTCTAAGTTTAGAGGAGCCTTAGTTATATGAAGTCGTTGGTCGTATCAAAACGCTCAAAAACTGACCTTCGTTAAAAATAGTTTTCAGGGCTTGATTGAGTTTTAGACTTTGATTTTAAAGTACAGTAACATAATATTTCCCTCGTTAACATATTCAGAATCAATAATCACGATTGTTATAGTTTTTCTAGATATGATAGTATGCTGAATAAAAAAAGGGAGGCACAAAATTTAGGAATTGTTAGTTTCAGTTTCGAAATATGCTCTCGTTGAAGATCGTCATTTAAATTGAAGCATTCGAAAGCAGGTCTTTCGCTTTCTTCACATTTGATGCGAACATCTGGGAAGGAGAAAGAAGGGCTGTTCGACTGGTTTTAGTGGCGGGAAAGTAGGATTGCTGTTTCGCCGATCATATGACGGAGGTGGAGGGGGTGAAAACCCGGTTGACTTTGTTAGAAAATATGTTCTATAAGTCTATATGGTAACGCAAGTTAAGTATATCGTACTATAATTCATATTTAAACGATTAAATATGTAATGTCATTAAACTCCGTATAATAAAAAAGTAAAAAATTAAATTTAACCCTAAGAGACTGAAGACTGAGACAAGGAAAAGAAACATTATGAAAAGCCGATAGGTTATTGGGAGGAAAAAAAAACTAGAACTTAAAGCAGTAGCACAGTAAAAAAGAAACGAGCTAATGAAGACATTTCTGTGTGCGCATTTTTCTGAAACATAGTTTCTTATCTTCTTCTTACTAATCCCTCTGATCTGAATCAGATCAGATCCATAGGTTGATTCGGCTTCGTAACTTCTAAAACACGAAATTGGGTCTCTTCAGCAGAGACTCACCAAGACAACAAAACTAAGTAGCTGTTGGGCAGTAGCTTCATGATTTTTTGCATTTGGCGCAAGTGGAAAAAGTTTTATTACAGTGGGAATATCTAAGGTTCCTTAATAAATGTCCTGAAATTAAACCGAGCCAGGGCAATTTGGTGCTTCCTGTCACCCTTAAAACCAATAACAGTACCAGGACCTGTATTACGATACCATGACTGTGTCGGCAATTGTCTCCAAGAATTATTAATTATAGCCTTTAGTCTTTAGACAAAGTCTTGAGTTTTTCAATAACTCTTAATTCCTCTTAGGTCTCTAATATTTCTCCACTTTTCTAGGTATTAGATTACACTTCGGCTATCTGTGAGGATGCAGGTTTCCTAGGATAAACGTTGCTCTAGAACATAGTCCAAAGCCATATCACTAGCAATCAATTCAGAGCTAAAAGCGGAACAGAAATTGGTATTTCTGAGTTTAAGCTATGGAATTCAGTGGAAAGGCCCCCTTTCATTCCCTATTTATTATTTCCTTTTAAAAACTCTGGTTGTATTTGGAGTTTGGCAACAGTTTTAGTCAGCCGCGGAAATTTAAAATCGAATTATGAAGAACGCAATAATAAATTTTTTTTCGTTTGTATTTACGTGTAAGGCATTTTCTATTGTGTTTCCGTATTTTTAGTTGCTAGTGTAAAAAATAAAATGTATATCCAGCTGAAGTTTAATGAAGCATTTGGGATTCCTCTAACAGAAGTGGATCCCAGTGTGACTGAACAAGTATGTTTGAATTTCCTTGTGTGTTTTTCTAACAAATACATTAAGAATTGGGGAATATTTTAAGAGATGTTATGCATCGATTTGATTTTGCACATAAAACAGCTATTCTAACGCAAAAGTTAACGCGCGTTAGTTTCTGTATTAACGTCATTAACTTGTCAAGTAAATATTGGGTAACTTTGTCAATAAAAATATATTTTATTGATTTTGGATTGATTAAAAGGGGTTGTCATCCGCAGAGAACCCGTTGGCGCTTCGGGAAAGAACCCGTTGGCGCCGTTGCAATTTTTACTCGCCAAGGGATGAGCCGAGCCGTAAACGTGATTTTTAGTGCATGTAAATTCAAATTAGCAGACAAAACAAAGTATTAAGCAAATGGTAGTAAAAATTCACAGATAATAAGCATGTAGATGTAAAACTAAACGGTTAAACGTGATATACGAAAATAAAGCTGTATTTTTCATAATATATTTCACAATACAAATAACCTTCAACAGTAATCTAATTTTCTTCAGTAGCATTGTTAACAAAATTAGACTTTACATTTTATTATTTTTCAAGACTAATTTGAACTGTATTCCTTACACCAGCAGGTTTGCTTAATTTTGATGACCATGGTGATGCATCAAATTACTCTGTTCATCTTAGATAATCAATAAATTTTTTTATTTCACTTTAATCAGCTATTTATGTCACACCTGCCATCCTCGGAAAGGTTATTGCTAGAAAAGCATTAACAATATAGTATCTTGTTAAAATTTTACGCCATAAAAATTGGAGTCGTGAACAGGCATCGGTAAAATCCTAGTATACGGTGCAGCCTTGGCGCGACTTTGAAAATTGTCGCCAACACCAAAAATGATCCAAAGAACGTCTATATATATATACTATACACTATATACTATGTGTGTATATACATAGTATATATACTATATGCATAGTAATCCCTATGTTTATATATTTTTTTGAAATGACCCGTTAACTACTCATCGCAATGTCCCGTTTTTACTGCTCATCATAAAGTCGCCAAAAGTAGCCAAATCCCTTGTGCACCGGATACTAGGATTAAACCCCGGCATCTATCGACAAAAACTTCTTTAATTATAACGAAAATATTTCTATCCATTCGTTGTTAAAAAATTCAGAAAAATAACGTGGAAAATCAGAAAAAATAATAATAAATAAGAGAAGAAGAATATAAATCTCCAAATGCGAACAACGACAGTGATAATTCAACAAAATGAACGCAAGAGGAATGGTTTCAACCTTCAAACAAGCGAATACGATGAATCCGATAGGTTACCAGGTTTGAACTATTATCGCCAAAGTTGGCGATGTTTACATTTACCGGGTTCTCTGCAGAAGTGCTTCCATTAAAAGGTATGGAAATCACTAACATTAATAAATAGGCCAATCCTCATTTTCAGTTTGAAACTTTTGTCAACAATTATAAAGGGGTTAATCAATGAAATATAGTAGTTGGCTTCAATGATAAAAGCATGAACTTATAAGAAATAGACTAAGCAGATGGTGTGGAGTGTATAGTCCTTACATCTCAGTAAGAAGTTGTAGTTACTAACTTCCCATTTTGTGGCACTCACTAGCAGCCAAGTGGTTAAATCACTAAACACTGATAGTTTGGCCTAGGATTCAAATCCTGGCCAAAAATGGGCTGGCTGCATGGTTGTTTTCATGGTTTTACTCATATGTAAGGTGTATATGAGTCAGTTTCCCTTGGGAAGTCCTCCATGAAAGCATCTCTCTCCTTAGGCAGATTGCCCTCGAGTGCTTTACTATAATCAAATAAACCAAACCATGCAATCCATTTTTTTGGAGTATTATGCTTCGTACATGAAGATATATAGCATTTGAAGAATAAATAATAATCAAAGTACTTCATACTTTCCAAATTTTTCCAGTTGTTATATCTAAATGGCATATCTAAATTCTTATTATAGAATGTTTGCTTTGAAATGAAAATGAAATACAACGGAAGTGCATCAATCCCAAGGGCTGCCATCTTTCTTACCCTATAATCAAAAAACTTGAGAAGACGTCTGGCTGAAGAGTATTTTAAGCATCTCTATGCTCCACATGCCCACCAGCGGCCGAGCAGTAAATTCGCTGAACACTGGTAGCTCGGTCTGAAGTTCGAATCCTGTGAACAGACTGGATGCGTGGGCGTTTTCATGGTTTTCCCTATGTGTAACCTGTATGCAAGCCAGTTTCCCTTACAAAGACCTCCATGAAGGCATCTCTCCCCTTAGGCAGATGTCCTCGAGTGCTTTGTCATAATCAAATAAACCAAACCAACCATGTACACTTATAAACGTCTACATCTGTGGATTCAAATTTGGCTTTCTCGATGTGGCTGCCAATTTTGCTAACCACCATACCAATCAGTCTGGCAAAAATGAAATGCTACAATATTTCATGAATAAAAACAAAAAAAAAGTATGATCTTTGTACATAATTAATGTTTTTATTTTCATGTTTGCTTGTTTTTGTAACTGTCAAACTGTCTTTGGGAGACTTGGCCACTTATTGGCAACTTTTTGAATTGGTGAAAAAGTTTGGTTAATCTTTGGGGCTGATCTTTAGAATATGGTAACTGGTAGTTTGGCGACATTTTGGAGGCGATAAAGGTTACTACCTGGGACTTTGGTAATAATGTGAGCAGTACTCAGTTCCGATTACGCATTATTTTGTGTGAGGGAAATGAGAGATCATGGGATATGTCATGTGATATTAATGGACGAATTACGGTTCTTTAATCGGGAAAAAATCTGGAAATTTTGTATTTGGCTTTATTCTGTGTTGTGTAAAACAGTGTTTGTTAATTTTTGGATCCTTAGTGTCAAATATTTAAATTATTTCCATGCACGTTTACTTCAACTGAAACATATACCAAATTGCTACAAACATAAAATTCACAAAATAACTATCATTTAATTAAAATATAACTAAACCATGTACACGTTGACTTATTTTTACTTAAAAAAAATCCCAGAATTGCACAAAAATGGCATTGCGCACACTCTTCACTATATCCATGTACACTGCTTTTTTCTCATAAATTAGAAAAATTTCACGAAAATGCATGAAAATTTTGTGAATCTTTAAATCTGGTAAAAAGGACATATACGAAATTACCTGATCGCGAAAAAGTATATACCCTTTAGAAGGATGAACATTTGCACGTATAAAATAAATAAAATATCCAGAAACTTTTACCTCTAAATTACGTATTATAAACGTCACCAACAAATTCATAACGCAAACATTAAAAATGCTTGCAAATACTTAGTGTGAAATACTTAAATTATTGCCATGCACGTTAACTTCCACTGAAACGTATACCAAATTCCTACAAACATATAATTCACAAAATAACTATCATTTAATTAAAATATAATTAAATTAAAAAAACACTACTTAAAATATAAATAAGCACATACATTAAATTACTAAAAATTAGCTTACAATCCTAATTACTTTAAACTAAAACATTGCTAATAACAATTTTCCAATAATACCATATTACTTTATTTACTCCTTACATTTAGAACAATGCATAAAAATATCCTCAAATAATTAAAAATACTAACTTACCTAATCTTCTTCAGAATCTTGATTACGTGGCGGATAAACTTTTGTTATTTCCTCCGCTAAATAAAAAGCAATCGTATGTGCGCCTGTTTCAGGATCTTTAAAATCATATTTATGGTTCATAGCAAGATGTTGAAAACCTTCATCCTCCAAACAGACATATGACTTTCAGCAATCAGATATTATTGTACCAGGCAGAATATACTGCTTAATAAAACTTAATAAGCAATCTTTACTTCTATCTCGCACAACCTTAAAAAATCACTTATTACTACCCCTTTCAATCCCACTAAATACCCATTTCGAATTCATTTTAGATAGGGCCATGGGATCCAAAAATTAACCAACACTGTTTCACACAACGCAGAATGAAGCTAAATACAAAATTTCCAGATTTCCCCTCTTTTCCGATTAAAGAACTGTAATTCGTCCATTAATGTCACATGACATATCTCATGATCTCTCATTTCCCTCACACAAAATAATGCGTAATTGGAACTGAGTACTTCTAACATTATTCCCAAAGTCCTAGGTAGTAACCTTTATCGCCTACCAAAATGTCACCAAACTACCTCTTACCATATTCCAAAGATTAGCCCCATTCTGTTTTCATGAAGTAAAGGCATGTTTCTTTTTTTTTTTTTTTTTTTATTTACTCTACATTTTTTCCAACAATCTGCTAGCCGAATTATGCTTATGCTAGAACTTTTATGGAACAAAAGTGGTTATTCATGACGAAGATTAGGTGCGAAATTGGAAGAAAGTGCAGAATCGCCCACTGCTTGCCGCGTTTTTAAGAATTCCACATACACAGTATCCATGTACACGTCGACCTATTTTCACTTAAAAAAAATTCCAGAATTGTAGAAAAATGGCATTGCGCACACTCTTGACTTTGTTCATGTACACTGATAAAGTTCTAGCTAGTAACCTTTATCGCCTTACCAGTGGAAGGTGGCATCAACATCTACCCCCGTGCTCGCGTATTGACCAGACCGACAAACAATTTATATCAGACACAGTTGAAAGCAACAAAAGTGGGGGGGGGGGCTGTCCTTTCTCAAATGATTAATGGTCAAGAGCGAGTAATAGCCTATTGGAGTAAGTGCTTGTCCAAACCAGAAAGGAATTATTGCATCACCTGTAAAGAATTGCTTGGTATCGTAAAGGCCATAGAACATTTCCATCATTATCTCTATGGCAGAAAATTCTTATTGTGGACTGACCATGCTTCTCTAACCTGGCTACTGAATTTCAAAAATCCCAAAGGACAAATAGCCACATGGTTTCAAAGACTCCAGGAATATGACTTTGAGATAAAACATTGTAAAGGCTTTGGACTCCCATGGAAATGCGGATGCTTTATTCAGGAAGCCTTGTCCTGCACACTG